ATGCCATCTTGTTAATTACGTAGATTATCAATGTCATCATCCATCCCGGTGTTTCATTGTTGACATTGTCCAATGGCAATTTTGTAGACATCACCCAACCCTAATTTGAATACATTTACTCTGCATGTAATTTTGTGACTGTATTTCCTTTGATATAGGTTTTAAAGAGGTGGTATTATGCTCATTTTCAGGTTCAAAATCCTATTTAGGAGTTGTACCAGAACAGGTTTCAGAGCTTAAAGTTCTCCGGTGTGAGGCGTTTTTGTATTCGACAATAATACATGTCTGTGGAAAATATTTTTTTAACTGTCGCGTCTTTCTCTGCACAATTGGTGGCTCGGTGTATACACGAAAGAAAGGGGACTGGCACTTCCTGGCTATGTGGACACTCATTGGCTATTGTAGGCCGTGGACAGGACATGGAAATTTCTATTGGGTCAATTAAGGTGTCACTCAAAAGGTCAACGTGTAGACGCGTTTTTTGTAGGGCTGGGCACGTTAACACGTTATTAACGCATTAATTAGGCTAATTAACGCTGACAATTATTTTATCGCACGTTAACACAGTTTTTATTATTTATATTATTATTTTTCAGGTGAGCCACTTGCTTGTTAATGAGGCAGCCTATCAAACAACTCAAACAGCCGAAACCAACATCTGCACCCTGTGTTCAATGTTGCTTTACGTTACCTGGTCTGTGCTTGTAAAATATCCACCTCGACTTGTAACGTGTTTTTAACCGAGGAAAGTCTGTGCGAGTGAACACACGCAGGGGGGGGGGGTTTCTTCTGACCATAAAAATAGTTTAAAACTACAATGAACCATCTGGTTTCTTCAATTTTCACTCAGGAGCAAAAATCTGCTTATAATTTGACATTTATCATAAGAATAGTCGATATTGAATGATATCAAATGTTTTATCGTGATAACATTTTCAGCCATATTGCCCGGCCCCAAGTACCAGCACCTATATCTTCCACTTCAAGCACTGATTATAGGTGGTGGCAGAAAAATTACCAGAATGCAGGAAATGAAGTGTTTAATGTTCTAAATCTTCTGGGGTAGGAACCCCAGACCCCCCATCATATACTTACACATCAAACGTTTTATCAAACCAGTGTACAATTTTCATCTTGTGAACCCAAAATTGTGTTTCTTCATGTTTCATGAGCTAAGTGTATGTCACACTCCCTATGTCCCCGTCAACACAAAGTTACACTCTTGCCCCCTACACGCCATCTTTTTCGTAAACCCCGAACACATTTCAGGCAAAGAAAATTTTCTTGCCTGAGGTTTAACTTTCAAAAAACACCATATTTTATTTTCATACTGCATATTGCTGTAGCTCCTCTTTTCACCCTGTGTGTCGAAGGCTTCGTTTTAGCTATGGAGTGATACAGCTTGTCACTAAATGATCTTTGTTGGGAGTTGCACATGCGCAGTTCCTAGTTAAGGACTACTAGCCAATCGCCAATCGGAAGCAGAGATGGGCAGGTCAGCGAGAAGCCAGTAAACAGCTTCGATTCAGCTGTAGGCTACATGTTGCCGACCAGCTTGGCAACATAGACTGGAGCAAGAGTTTCAGAGTGAGTTATTAATCTGTAACAAATGTATTTTTCATCCATAAGGTTTTAACTGAGCTCTGTCTCTACATCACAGTAACAACTTTATGTCCATTGACTGCTTGGAGGGTAGCTAGTGTTTGGAAGGGAGTTGGACTAGCCGCTTGGTGAGCGTTAAATGAGGCGCATTTAGCTTTCACTCCTGTGACGTCACAGGGATGAAAGGGAAACGGCTGGACTATAAACACGCTGTTTTCAAGCAGTTCAGAGCAGTGTTTTCTGTGGGAGATGGGAACTCCCTTTGGGCTAGACTTTGGGCTTTTTTACTTTGCAAACCTATTACATGCACAAAAAAGGTATCTAACTCAATGAAAGAGAGGAGAAAAAGGCATAATACCACTGCTTTAAATTTCATTCACAATGGTCTTAAATTTGACCAGGTGAAACCTGCAGAAACCCTGATTGTTCCATTACCTCGTCCACCTGACTTAAGAATTTGCATAGTGTGGAACTTCTTATTTTAAACCATCTTTATTTGCTTATGATTCCATAAAATTTTAAATAAAATACTTTTTAATTTTAAGTAAAAGTGCTGCTCATGGAATAAAATTATGCATAGTCGCTTGTTCCACAAAACCCAATTTGTGGAAAAAGTGACTAAGTAGTGAAAGGAAATTTTATTTCGCTCAAAAGATTTAAGGTATTATCACTTAACACCAAAAAATCTCATTAGGAGAATGTTCAACATTATTGCACAAAAGAATGAAAACAAATTGATTATCAAAATTGTTGCTGGTTGATTATCTGATCAAGCAGTCAATTACTTAGTCTATTCAGCTTTATGCAAGATGTGCCTTATTTTGTGTCCTTAAAAATGTAGAAATGACAGAAGATGTTTTGATACTAATAATTGAATTGCAATAATGGAGTTGCACTTGTATTTTTCAGGACAACTATCTGAAAATGGGCATTTTGTAAATTTAAAGTTGATTTGTAGTAATTTTGTTGAGTGAGTTTCCATTAGTATTTGAGGGAAATCTACTCAAAAAAATATGTTTTGTGCTAGACTCAGAGTATAAGTTGTGCACAATTGCATTTATTGAATAAAGAATTAGTGGATTAATTTTATTAAGCATCAGTGAATCAATGTAATTTAGCATGCGGAAATTAAATGTTTTTTAAAAATGTATTATATTTAAGTTAAGGTTTACTCAAAAATATTACCACTGCTGAGGTAATCAAATAATTTGAGTATTCTGAACTTATTTGGGTTTACAGTGTAGATCAGAGTAGTCTCTTGGGTAAAATGTGATGCATTTTATGTATGCTAATTTAAACCATCATGCTGCTACAACTAGCTAAACAATGGCTAAACAGGGGTTGTAACACCTTTTTAAAAAAAGTGTAACAACTAACTCCGTAATGACAGCTAAACATACGATGAGGTGAAGCCAAAGAATACTGCCACATGACATTACTGCAAATTACAATTTAAAACTTTACAGCAGTGGTGAGAAAATAGCAGCCTGTGGACCTAATCTGGCAAAAGCTGATATTAAGGTAGATAAATTGTAAATAGAAGGCTTGTATAAATCCCAATAAATATGACCTCACCCCATACAGTAACATCTAACACTGCAACAATGTGCAGAGTGGCAGCAGGCTTTCTGAACAGGGCATGGTGCTGAAATTAAGTCAGATGAATTACATATACATAACATAATTTAGCCTATATCACAACAGATTTGCGTCAACAACAGAACTTTTCTCTGAACATAAATGAGGTAAAGTATCAGCAGCAGCTCATTGTTGTGAATTAGTCCTTAAAGTGGTATAAAAGTCAGTGATGAGTTGTTTTTGTTTTTGGTGAACCACAGGAAGATGTTGAAGTGTTGATTCATATGCAATACATTTCCTCAGATGTATATTTTGTGGTGTGGTCTTTACACACACAGTTTCTGACATCAATCATATAAAGGCCACAGGTCATGAAGATTGATATGATACCCTCAGGTGTTGATCTGGCAACACCTTATCCATTGCTTTGGCTCAGTGTGGAGGTGTTTCAGCTTGTGTCAAAATACAATCATTTTAATGGTTATATGGTGGTAGGCGTACCTGATAAGTCTTTATTTAGAGATTATGTGTAGTAAATACAATAATATTTAAGTAAATAATTAGTAAATAATCAGCCATTAAACTTTTCTGATAGAGGGAGAAACAAACAAAGCCCATTAAGTCTGAAATCTCCTCATTACCAAAACTCTAACATCGAAGCTCCACTGCTCAGCTCCCTCAAATCTGGTGATAAAGTTCCTTTCAGCCTCAAAATATCTATCCCATTCATGCTCTGCACTTATGAGTCTGTCCCTGTACAGTCTTAAATCTTAAATTAAAAACTCGTTATCATCAGAGGTGAGTGAAGGGCAGAAAATCTCATGGGGCTCCTCTGACCGTCATGGTGTATCTGTAAAAGAGCATGCAGGCTTGGTCAACCTGTCCTGCAATAAAAAATAGTATATAGTAGGCCTATACTAACACTATACAGAAAAATGAGGACTGAAAGGGTTTTGTGTGAGGGGGAGTTTGTCTGAATTAAGGGCCAAAATAACATAAGTTGTCATACAGACTGTATAGATTTATAGCTTACAAATAAAACTGAATTAATTCCAATAGGTTTGTGCCAGCCCTGTGATGAACTGCTGACTTGTCCAAGGTGTACCCACTCTCCCCAGTGTGGCTGTGACCCTGCACGGATAAGAGGTCAAGAAGATGGATGGATGGATGGATGTTTATGCCAAATACTTTCCATTTAATTAGTAAAGTAAAAGTATAGTATAAATATAGCCTACATGCCAGTATATAGGCTACATAGTAAAATACATAGGCTGAGGTGCTGGAGCGTGGTTATAAGAGCCTTTTAAAAAGGTGGTTTTAATAAAGTTTTGGCAAAAAGCATTTCTTCATTTGATGAAGGCAGGGATCAGTGGGGAGCTTCATTCTTAACAGTACACAGTTCTGCCAAGACAAGACACCTTGTCCCTTGAACCCAACATTTCGCTCTTGCGCTTATATTTACAAACGTATGGGGGCTGCACCAAATCTTTTATCCACCAACAAAAATAATCTGAGCTGGGGGGCGGTTTCTGACTAAGTGTTACTACAAAGGGCCATTTAAAATATACACGTGCTTCGATTCAACTGGAAAGATACGACGCAGTTCGCCACTTCAACCAATATGTGGCAGTAGTGCTTCACCATAGACTTTGACGACATAGAGCGCCCCTTACAAATCTACACTGTTAAATGGTATTTTGGCTCGCGCCCTAACATGGGCTAACCGTGATGGTTTGATAATGTTGTAATGGAAACCAGCGTCGAGTCGGTGCACGAGCGTGTAATAGACAGACAGACAGAGAAAGGGAAGTGTCCCTTCAGCTCGCGCGCGGAAGCCATGTTTGTAGGCGTGTTTGTATGTATTTGATAGCGTATTTCCTTTCTATCTGCTGTAGTTCTGTGCGCATAGAGTCGGACATTACTGTAACGTTAATCATCAGCCGAACATCGTTGGCAGGCAGCGACTGCTCGTTTACGGAAGCGCGCTCTCTCTTTCTCGTGCTGAGCCGGACGTCTGCTTTAATTTGAAGGGCACGGGATAAAGGCACAGGACACAGGCGCGCGCGTGCTGCTGCAGTCTGTGTCTTTAAACGCAGGAGGAGACATTTGTGTGTTTGTGAGATGTAGCCTGCCTGGCAAGACTGTCGCCAGCATCGCTCCAAACCCACCTGCTCCTGGTCCCTGTCATTTCCCCGCTGAGGAAGGAAGGGAGGGGTTGGGATGCCGATGGTTTCATCTGGTCAGGCGTCTGGAAAAGAAAGTTCCGCGTGCTTTGGTTAACCTTTCGCTTCTTCTTCTTGTAAATTCACATCTTTCACCGAGCCTGCATCTGGTTTACTCAAGATCCACCAGCTCTTAAAAACCCTCAACACAGAAGAACCATAACAGGTAAAGGTGATAACGAATCAGTATGTTGTGTTTATGCTTGAAGCCTACCAGGGGCATTTATAATGTAACAGGGCATACTTCTATTAATCACCAGTGGTAGTGACATCAAAAACACCAATCACCAAGACCAGAAATATTGTTGTTTACTTCAGTTTCAGTCTGACATCACCTGTAAATAAATGCCTGAAGGCTGATCCTCGTGCTGTGGACATGAGAAGGGATATTGATACAGTCCTCACAGTTGTGTGTTAAGGCATTTGTTAAAACCATGATAATTAAGAATAAATCTATAAAATGATTTCCATCCCTTTTTAATGCTATAGAGATGGTGCTGGTCAGATTTTCTTCCCTCCTCTCTGACATATTTACACACAAATGCATGCACACTCAGGTACCCATGTGTCTGAGATAACATCTGATGGCAAAACACTGAATTAAAATGACCTTCATCCTCTTTTTCAGCCTGAAAAATTGTCCTTGAAACAGGAGTGTAATTAGGCCAGATACTGTGTCTGGTACTGTCCTCTTTCACCTGAGATATCAGTCAATTCTTCCTCAGTATATAAATATTAGTCTACATTAGTACGCTACCACTGGTGTCTGCTACCCTGAGAGTGTACAATGTAGAACTTGCTTTTAAGTGATTACATAACAGGTTATACCAGATATGAAATGACACATCCTGTTCAAAAAGGTTTCTTGTGTTGCATATTTGCATATTTATGTGCGATCAGATAACTTGATGCTCATTATGCTATAAGTGTCCCTAATCCAATTTAGTCCAAATGCAATGATTACCTAACAGGTTGCCTCAGTAGTTACTGGAACATAGACAACTGTACTATGTTGCTGTTGCAACTTTTGGCAAGTTACATGCACATATTTCTTAATTCTTATTTAAACGCCAGTAGCTTGGCAGGAAGGAACATGTGGGCAATGAACCAACTTTTCTGTAAGATCAAGTCATTGAATTTGATCCAGTAGGTTATGTTAGACTGAATGAAAATGTTATCCCAATTACAGTGCAATGTATGCATGTCAATAATTTGGTCAACCAGATGCTGCTTTTCGTTTGATAACAACATCGTGACCGCGTTCCTCCACAAAGAGCCTTTTTTGACCTCCTTCAGCCTTTGCTGTGACTTGATCAGAAAGATGAGGCCCCCTGGATACAGGGGAGTGATGCTCAGTGGCACTAGGACCTGGAGGAGCAATTTACAGCTGTGGCAGCAGCTGCCCTGTCATTTCTGTCCAGGTCATCATTAGTATCCCTGTCATAGGGGCATATGGCCCTGGAGGCCCTGACCACCAATACTCTGCTTGGCTGTAATTTTAACATGAAACTCATGAGAGGAGGAAAATGGGAAATCAACATTATGGTTGGAATCACTGTGCCAACATTAGGCAGCCATGCAGAGCAGAGGATTTAAGATGAAATATAATTCAGTGTGAGGATATAGATAATTTAATGTGAGGATATTGGATTAACCATTAAAGAAGAGAGACACGTAATATGACTTCTGACCATTTGACTCTCTCGGTCATCAAAAATATCTGTGTTGTCAAATAATCCCATCAGAGGAGCCAAGAAGACTGGCTAGAGTCTGCTGTTTGGGTTACACCACATCCTTCCTGGTTCTCTCAGCTCTCACCCCCTCAGGAAGGTGTATGTAAACACCATGACACATTTGTTATTATCAAATAACTCCACTCTCTCCTCTGTGAACGTGTGGGGAATAAGAAGTGGTAGTCTGTCATGACTGTACCCAGAAAGGCAAATGTTGTCATGCAAATGTCATACATGAAGAAAATTTATTTTGTTTGTGTTTTAGAAAGATTAACTGCAGTGTATTTAGATTGTGACATTGTGCAGGAAAAATATAGAAAAGTGTTTTCCTTAATACAAACAGATAAGCCTCTGCATGTGCTACTTTCATCTTAATCAGTGTCCATAGCCCTCATTTCAGTATTTCCTTCTTTCATTATCTCCTTCACAAAGTCCTCATACTGTACTTCCCCGTCTCAGCTATTTTTGTGCCGTAGCTCATACATGGTTTGAACATGCTCTAATTCTTATGGTCACCTTCCCTCACATTACCACTGATTATGATCTATGTCCAGTTGTTGTGACGGTGGCGACTGGGACTATGGCAGTATGTTGACGTCATTGATAGTGACTGTGAGGTGGTTGGCTGAAGGAAACAATACAGAGCACGTCGCTGGAGGATCACAAGTGTCACCTCAGAGTGTAGGGGGGAGAAGAGAGGAAAGGAATGGAAAGATTTTAGGTCAGGGATAGTGTGGGCGCTCAGCTTGATGTGAAAGGGAAAATATAGGATGGGGGGGAAAACTAAATTGGTGGGGTGAGCAGTTCAGTGTCTGTAAAGTGAAGGTGGGTAAGATGGGACAGCATAGTGTTTGAGAAGATGGGGAGAGAGGAAGGATTAGAGAAAAGGGACGATAAGAGAGAGAGAGGGGAGGGGGATTAAAGCTTGGAAAAATAGACTGTGCCAGAGGGAAGTGTGAGAGGATCAATTTAGAGACATTCTGCAAAGAGACACAGTGTTGTCACTGAATGGGGCTGTCTCGCTCGTCCCCCCCCCCTCACTTCCCTCGGCTCGTTTTTCACCCACCCACTCCCACGTGTGCCCAATTGCCCCCCTCCCCATAGGACCATAGGACCATAGGACCATAGGAATACATTATGCCCAGCCAGGCACCAGGTTATTGGTGGGCTGAAAAGACAAGCGTGTTTCTAGGCACATGTTGAGTACTGAGGCAGCCCTCCTCTCTGCATGAAAGTCATGGCCTCCGTCTCTTCAAGGTCATGTGAATAATTATGAGAGAGCTGTTGTTTCTCCGTCCCCGAGCAGATAAGCTCTCTCTCTCTCACCCTAATGACCACGAATTTGTCCACAACGTACAGGACGCCATTTGCGCCGTTGTAGAGAATACGATGGGTAAATGTCTGCCATGATTTGGCTATGCACCCGATAACGAAAGGCTAGGTTTCCTCTCACCCTAAAAGATATGACATGGACATTCTTTGGTGCTTTCTCACATGTTTCACTTTCACCGCTGCTGGCTGATGGATCTGGGTCGGGCTGCCACCGTGTTGTGCCCAAATCAGCTCTTTTTAATGTCCACAAGAACAAGTCCCCATCTGTGTGGCATTTTTTGTTTTAGGGATTTAACAGCTGAGAAATCATGAGCTTGTTTTTATTTGGGTGTCATCTCTGGTGATCAGTGTATGGACTACGGTGTGCCCATTTTTTTCCCCCTTTAATTTTCCATGGAGGTTTGAATTGCTTTTGTCTTCAGCCATGTTGGAAATCACCGTCATTGCTTTTCCATCAGTTGCCTCTGATGAAAAAGGCTTCACGTATTTTGCAGTTAAATCAGAAATTGTAAAATCTTTTATTAACTGGGTGTGCAATATCTTTACGTTGCATTTGTGTTCTATCAATCAGAAAAGCAAAGCAGACATTTATTCACACAATAATTGAATGGACTGTTACTTGAATGAATGAGCTCAAATTCCTCCTTTGTTTCTGTCCTCCTCAGCTCTCTGTGTCTGTCTGATCTCTCTGCAGCTCCCTTTCTCTGTGTTGTTGTTTATTCCGAGCTGTTGACTTTTGCTGTTCTGGACCGTGCAGCTTTTCCTCATGTTAGTGTGTGGCAGGTGCTCTGAGCTGATATGAACTGACTGAGCATCTCCCTGGTTACTGGAGGACAGGCAGGCGGCTTAGGCACAAGTAGAGAGGATGATAAACTGTGTCCAGGCTTTTTTCCCTTCCAAATCTCCCATCCAAAAGCTCTAGATGGTTAGGTCTTCTTGTGTCTTTCTGGTCTCTAGCTTTTGTTTTTATGTATTTTGTTCTTTCAAATGTCTCCTATTGGTGTATGCAGCTATATTCATCTGTTTTCAAAGCCATGAGAAGGCAGGTAATCGAACAGTCACGATGGTGGGAGCCTGAATGACTCACTCAGTTGTCCTGCTGGGTCAATAAGGTCTCATGATTCATCAGCTGAATTGACTTGTCATTTGTGAAAGAGACTGCATGTTGTGCTACCCAGTGTTTCAATCCTCTCTGTACCTTTTAATATTTTCATTTATTTTCCATATGCCATTATTTCATCATTGTATGGGCTTCTTCCATATAATCCTGATGTTACACAGGAATGTTGCCAACTTAATGTTGTGTGCATCTTGCAAGTGGAAACATTCTTGTTGTTGTCTTTGCCACAGAAATCTTAAGAAATGGACCAAGATAATCCGTGCCAAAGTCAGACACAAGAAGACAACCCAAATGGTGCAGCAGAAGCTTTAACAACAGCTCCAGCCACTGATTCTACTGCTGCCCAGCCTGGAGGTCCTGCCAGGCCTCGACGGCCCCAGAGAAGTGCCAGAGTAGAAGGCTCTGTAGACATCTCTGAACCCAAAGCAGAGCCCGAAGATGAGCCCACTCCAGTGGCTAACCAGGACGTGGCAATTCATCCCAAACCCTCTCGAGCTGCAGCAGCCAAACCCTTTGGAGAGCGCACCGGGCCCAGCATTAAGGCTGGTCCTAAAGGTCCAGGTCACCACCCGGTTAGGGCTGCCTCAGTCCCCCACCCACCTGTGCCTCCTCACCTGATCCCTCATGCACAGAGAGCCCTCTCTGTAGCAGGTACAGCTGACACTCAGGCCCAGACTGTGGAAGACTTCAGGCAAGTTCGCTGATGCGTGTGTGTCCCGACCTTCATGTCTCAGCATGTTTCCATGTTGCCTTTCATGCCCAGACAGCTGAGAAATAAAAGCCTGGAACTAGCATTTATTTATACAATGCCTGTTCAAAATGTGCCTGTTTGGAACAGACCAATTTCTTGGTGTATTTTGAAATTACATGATATGATTCATTTCAGGGACTAGAAAATGTTACGCCTCATAGGAGTGACATATTTTCACTTAGATGGCCTGTGAAAGGTTTGTGTCTTTCTTTCCCACTGGATGTTGTTTTTTTTCAATGGGTGTGTCTCCCTGGTTCAGTAGGTATTGAATCACTGTAGCCAAGAGCAAACCGGACACCTAGGTTTTGTTCTAGAGAGAACCTTTTCCACAGAAGTGTCACAGCAGTATATACACCCTGGACAGGACACCAGCCTATCAGAAAGCTAACGTACTGTATTTTATACAGGCAAACACATCCTCCTGTTCACATTTATATGGGCGATTTAAGATTTTACAATCTAATAATAAACAATAACAATAATAAAGTGTATTTATATAGTAGCCTTCAAGACACAGTTACAACATGCTGTACAATAAAACAGAACAGATTTGAACGCAAAGACAATAGAACTGACTAAAATGGCATTAAACATAAATGAAATCATAAAAAGTGGGTTTTTAAAAGTGATTTAAGAGGCAAGAGACAGAGTTTGCTGCCTGAATCAATAATACCTTAAAATCAGTTCTTAAAGGAAGAGGTAGCAAATTTAAGGAAGCTATTCATGGTGAAATGTATTCATCTTTCCTATAACTTGCCAGGTCTGGTCCAGAGTTGGCTTGGCTTTCCGAGCCAGTGGATTTTAACATTTATGTTGACAATTAACCTATTCGAAACAGTAGGTGCTGGAAATCAACATCATCGGTTTGTGCTCAGTTTTGTAATGTTAATATCTCTTCAGTAATTTTATACAATTTCCTCTGCATGTGAATCAGAATAACTGAGTTAATTTCATTATAATAATTTTCTGTAGTGATATAATTGTCACTGTGACAAGCAAACAGTCAAGACCTCATGTATTGTGGTAAGAAATTGAGTGTTATCAGGAGGGATAGAAAAGTACATTGGAATGTATTGATACAAAGGTTCTGCAGTCTCACTCAGAGTCTCTAGGTTATGTCACTGAGGTGTGGAGGAGATGAGTGTTTATAAGAGATGTTACATAACACCCTTTTCTAACAGGGTGCACATCATCACTTGGAACGTGGGTTCGGCCATGCCACCTGATGACATCACTTCCTTGCTGGGGCTGAACGTGGGGGATGGAAACACAGACATGTACATTATTGGGTGAGTGTCTTGTGGTGCAGTAATCATCCAGTTTCTTCCACATAAAAGCTGAAGTGTCCATTTATTTTCACTTGTCCAACGTTGACACTACAGACAGTGCCACTAATGAGCTCAGTTGTGAACCAAAGTAATGTCTCCCCTTATGGCTAAAATTTTCTCACATTTATTAATTGACCATTACATTATCAAAGCTCTCACTCATCATTATCAAACTCTTACATCTCTGTCTGTTGTTGACTCTTGTGTGTTGTTGTGTGTTATTTTTCTTCAAGGCTGCAGGAAGTGAACTCTATGATTAACAAAAGGCTGAAAGATGTCCTCTTCACAGACCAGTGGAGCGAGGTCTGCATGGAGAGACTCAGCCCCTTTGGTTATGTGCTGGTCAGTAATGGCTTTTATTATCAGCACATATGCACATTCTCCTAGTAAAATGTTAAACTGCTTAGATTCACACTGCACGCATTACGCTGATTGAGATCTCTGCTTCCTGCTGCTGTTTCGGCTCATTTTGTTCCCTGAGCAACGGATGGGGTGATAATTCTTAACAAGCATGTAATGTCAGCGTATCTGCTGTCTTCTGCTGCTCATAATGCAAAGTCAAGCTCTCACTGTCTCTTAGTCTCCCTCTGTGTGCCTTTATTCCTGCAGACCTGCTCCTTTCTGTTTCATAATTCCTACAGATACTCACTGTTGGAATGTAGTAAGAAAGGCAATAGGTTTCATGTAACGCACATATTGAATGGGATGTAGCAAATTTGCTAATATATATGGCATAATGTATATCAAATAAGAAATTAAAAGCAAGGCCATATTTATGTAAAATATCCATGGAGAAGTTAAAACATTTCAGTAGAAAGCATCAATATGTTTATTTTCTCAAAATCTGTCTGGTGTGTTGGTATCTTACATGTTTTATGCTTTTAAGGGGACAAACTGTAGCTGTGGTTGATGTTCAACTGGCTGCATCTGAAATGATACTTGGCTCCGTTGGCATGGTGAGCCAGAGAGCGTGAATCAGCTGTCGAGCTGAACGAGCTAGACAAATGTCTCCCAGGATGCTGTTTTATTTTTGGATCTCAGTGTTGATGGGTCTCTGACAGTGAGACTGATGCTGTCCTCTAGCTATATCATGGTCTGCTAAGTTTAAACCTTGTTAAAATCAGCTTGATGACCTTTTCCTATACTTTATGTGGTTAATGCTGTGAGTAGGTTTGGGGGATGTGTTAGTTGGAGTTTATCTTAAGTAGAGGGACAAACATGGTGGTGTCAGTAGGAGTCTGTCTAGTCATGACATAGTGGACAGATACAAAGTAACACCCTATCAGTTCTTTCCACTTGGAGATAGTCTGCTCACCAAGACTCATTGTCGGGTTCAGACTCAGCTCAGAGCTCAAGAAAGCGTACTCAAACAGCCCTCGCACAGAAACACAGACTTTTTTCCCCTGACTATTCACCACACAGTTGCTGATTGTCACAATAATTTCTGTTTAAGTAAGATACAGTTTAGATGTGCAAATTAACAAAGACAAGAATTAGAAAAAGATTTCCCTCTGGTCGTAATCTCTAATTGCAACATGGCACACTCTATTGAATGTGTTGCGGCAAGACTTTTTGTATGCAGTGTGATTTACTGGTATTTGACTAATTACACATGAAGCAGCTAAACATTTTAAATACTATGTAGTTGTAAAATTGAATAATTTCATAACATGATGTATGAATAATGTTTAGGTTAGATCATATTTTATAGAGTTGTAGACACTGAAATAAACCTACATTTTAAGTAAATGCAAGTTAAGGACTTGGTAAGAACATGTGTCAATACGATTTAACGTCTGAAGTTTCTTCAAAAAGCCAAAAAATTATGTAATGTACATACAGTGGAAGAAGATGTTGATGTTTCTGTGGTCATCAGTATTAGAGACTGCAATGAGAAGCCATAATTTTGCACTGAACTTTCCCAGGCTGCCCTGCTAACATCACACTTGTTACTCACATCACACTTCTTCAGTCATGTGTGTGATGTACAAGGTCAAACATACACCACTGCACACACTCTTTCTATCTCTCTCTTTCTCTGTCTCTCTCTCTCACACACACACACACACACACACACACACACGCACGCACACGCACACACACACATTTGTCTTTGGGCTTAAATGTCTTTTTTGTTCTAAGCCAAAATGTAACATGGCAGCCTTCAGGGGTTCTTCTGTTGTTCATTGATGTTTATGAGACCAACCACCGTACATGCAGGAAAAGATAGTTTCTCTCAGACTCTACACACACACACACACACACACACACACACACACACACACACACACACAGTCTGTGTACACATACACACACCACAAATAAAGCCGGTCCACTTTACGGTTCAGTTGAATCCATTACGCAACAAAGTTGTTCAAATAGTCAGTTAGTATACAAGCGAAGGGTCACGTGGAGATGTGTGCCTCCATTACTGCCCACAGGGCATTTCAGACGGAGTGTGATCATGCTTCTTCAGCCTGTAGTTGGGGGTTGGGATGTGTGGACCACTGGAGGAAGGGGGAGGGAGGGATGAACATAAATATCTGGTGAGGGGCTTGACATAGCATACAAATGCCTCATCTTGTTCCACTTTACAAATGCAGGTGTTATATTCCTGCCCCTATTGTACAATACAAATATGTATAATTTTTTTATACTAGTTGCGTAAATGTCAATAACTGCATATCATTATCTAGCAAAACAAGAAGCAAGTGCTTGAGATGATAGTGGAGGGCTTGGAGAAAGGAAAAGTCTGACCTCCCTGCAGTTTGTACATCACATTTCCTGTGCAGTGCCTCATGGAAAGTAGTGGGAGAGCTGGGCCACAGGCTCCTGCAGGGCGAAATGGAAATGCAAAGGGGTAGAAAGAGAAGGGAGAGTGAAAGAGGACTGAGGAGGGGAGGAGAAAGTGAAGCAGAGCAGCAGAAATACACACAGCCAAGCCGCACTCAGCTCAGAGAATTTGTTTATTTAGATTTTAGTGCAAGTTAGAAAGATATTTATACATATACAGAGTTTTATCACTATCTTGTCAGAATTATGCAAAGTGCCTCCTCATAACTCTTGCTATGTACCTATTCATGTCCTCCTGTCTGTTTCTCTTCACCTGTCTATCCATCCATCAGGTGACTTCACAGCGGATGCAGGGGTTGTTACTGCTGGTCTTTGCCAAATACTTCCATCTGCCCTTCCTGCGCGGAGTCCAGACTGAGACCACCCGCACTGGCCTAGGGGGTTACTGGGTGAGACGGCAACTGATGCCATTCTGTAATCAGCACTGTGTTATTGGAAACATCGTGCATGAAAGTTTAGCTGTACATGGTTTAAGGTTTATGCTTGTATCGCTGTCACTGATACCTTGATAGAGACACTAGTTTTCTATTACAGTGTTTAGACACTTCTGCCGCCTGGTTTGTAAGCAGTGCAGATTCTTTGCTTTATCCAGAGCTGGTGAGGAAGTTGTGGGTTTTACTTCTGCTGAGCAAATGTTGGTAATCTAGTGCAAATTACATATACAGGAAAGGCTGGATGAACGGCCCTCCAACCCTATTATCAAGTCTTGTTACATGTTAGTCAAATGCTTTTCCAATCAGCTTTATTATAATAAAGCGATATGCATTGCTATCTCACAGCCAGCAGTTATTCATGCTTGGAAAGCTAAGCAGAATAAAAATGTTCCAAGGGCACAACACAGTCAATTTTTATGTATTTTAACTGGTATGAAAAGTAGTATATTAGTATTAACAAACAAGCAACTAGTCCATAGGGATTTATTTTAGAAGCACCAGGTGAAAAAAAAGATGTTTGCGCTACAATATGTTACTGAAAGACAATTGCATTCTCTAAGATCACAGTGGATGTCTGTGCGTCATTTCATGATCACAGAGGGCTCTAATAGATCACTGAGAAAGTTATGTAGTACTTAGTTTAAAGTGAATTCCTCCCCGTATGAACTCAGACAGGCTACATTACATTCTGCAGATTTTATACTGAAACATCTTTTGTGTTTTAGTGGGTCAGAGCAGTTGGGAGAACAGCGGTAAGAAATCCGCAGACTCACCCTGTCCCCCCACTGTGCACTTTATTGTTAGCATTAAGTATTAATGACGTTTGTCGCTGGTCCTTAATGAGTAAACTTCCTGTTCTCTGTGGCAGACACACACACCACTCAATACAGTGAAAACACTCACATGCAAATCACTCTCTTGGGCACTTTTCCATCACTGATCATATTACATTCATTCAATTCATTCAATTTTTTCAACAGTGAGTGCCTTCCTCTCCTAAATATTATTTACAGGGGAATAAAGGTGGTGTGAGCGCCCGCATGTCAGTGTTCGGCCACACCATCTGCTTCCTCAACTGCCACCTGCCGGCTCACATGGAAAACTCAGATCAGCGCATGGAGGACTTTGAGAGCATCCTGCAGCAGCAGCAGTTTGAGGGTCAGGCTGCCACTGGGGTTCTTGACCATGAGTAAGCTAGCACAAAAACACAGGCACACACACACACACACACAAATATAGACACACATACGATTTTATGTACCTGTCTGATAAACAGTTAAAAATCTGATTGAACATATGCTCTTTGATATATCTGTGACAAACAATCCCAGGTTTATTTTCTCCATATTCATGTGATGTATTTGAGACAAATGGTGTCACAGTCACTTCCTTGCTGGATGTACTTAAACTTAATTACATTTTATTAATGAAATTACTCCTATTTTCACAGTGTTGTGTTCTGGTTTGGGGATCTCAATTTCCGCATTAATGACCTGGAAATGCAAGTGGTAAAATCAGCCATCGATAACAACAAGTTTCCGATGTTGTGGGAAAAGGACCAGGTAAAACATAAAGGCTGTCTTATATACTGTATAATGATAAAAAACTGTGAAAATGAATTTAACTCCTCTGCATGTGGTCTTCCTGAAGAGCAATGAATGCAATTTGCCCCTCAGCTCCTCTGTAATCATAGCTGCTAGTCGGGTCAAGTTTTGAATTTAGTAAAGAACAAACGTAGTCTATACACTGAAATTTTATCCAGACTTATTTTCCAAAAATCTGTGTTCTCTAAAAATGTAACTGTGTCAGAGATCAGAATGCTTGTGATGATTTGTTATTCCACAAGCTGAAGTTGTTCATCATCATAGAGTACATGATAAAATGTCTTCTTTCTTGTCTGGTGGACTATGCACTGTGTAGGTAATGCCACTAGAGGGCAATATAGACACACTATCTTCTTAAAAGAGTTGTCAGGTTTTGCCAAACAGAAATCCTCAGTGAGTGATGTCTACAAATTCTCATTGTTACAGCTCAATATGGCCAAAGACAGTGAGACAGTGTTGGAGGGTTTCCAAGAAGGACCGCTGAAATTCCCTCCCACCTACAAGTTTGACATTGGAACAAATACATACGACACAAGGTTGGTGCTGCCAGGGTGCTATTATGAATTCTAGGCCACTGACCAGATATCACAGAGCCTAGATCAGTAATACTCCCTTCTATGAAAGGTCCTCACTAGCCTTGGGGGAGCATAAAAGTGACTTTTTCTCCATTTAAACAAGATGGTATTTTTTCTCTTGCTCCATCTCTATCTTTCTGTCCCTCACCCAGCGGGAAGAAGCGTAAACCAGCTTGGACCGACCGTATCCTGTGGCGCCTGAGAGCCACCGCACCTACTGGTGCTGGGAAGCGTGGCTCCATCTCTGGGCTGACCAATGGGACCAAAGTAACACAGCACTGCTACCGAAGTCAAATGGAATACACTGTCAGTGACCATAAACCAGTCTCCTCCATATTTACCCTGCAGGTGAGACACATTGGGCTACATTGTCAAGATGACTTAGGGCTTGCATCTTTGAAATACTAATGAAATACCAATACCAAAACAATACTATTTTCACCACCAACACCTTTGCTTGAGAATCCAACAAAATTTTAAATAAAGTGCTGCACAGGAAGTTTGCCTAAGTAAAATACAGTATAAATTTAGGATTTAAATTGGGACATATCTGCTCAAAGTTTATCTTAGAAACCTTACAGAAATGTTTGCATTGTATAGATGTTTATGATAAATGTTCTCTGTAGTTCCCGTACAAAGTGGATATTCCCCTGGTCACACTCATAGTGGAGGATGAGTGGAACAGTATTGCTGATGCGACAGCAAAATTCAAACTGGCGCCCAACTTCTCTCGCAGCTCCTGGGACTGGATCGGACTGTACAGGGTAAATGAACATAACAAATATTTCTGAACATTACCAATTTGAATCAAGTAGGTAACGTTTTGTTATTGTGCTGCTGCCAACCCTAGGTGGGTTTCAAACACCATAAGGACTATGTGGGATATGTGTGGGCCAAGCAAGAGGAAGCTGATTTTCATCGACAAGAACATCAGGTAATCTGAATGCGTGCGTAATTCCCTTATCAAAACATTTTATTTCACATTTAATAGATGTCTGACTAACTGTTTCCAGGTAACCTTTACCGAGGAGGAATTGCCCAAAGGCTCAGGGGACTTCATCTTGGGTTACTATAGCAACAACATGAGCACCATTGTGGGAGTAACGGAGCCATTTCAGGTAATCACAACTCTGCATTATCAAATGCATTATCTCTATGCTAATACTGCAGGTGTTCCCATCTGCATCTTTTTTTCATTACCTCTACTGACATTTTTCTGCTCTTTCTCCATATTCTACCGCCTCCGTCCCACTACTCGTAATCCTCTTTTTCATCTAGATTCAGCTTCCCACTTCAGATCTTGACAACAGCTCTTCAGACAGCTCTGACTTCAGCTCAGAAGATGACAGCACTGTTGTCCTCATGAAGACAAGGTCCCGCAGTCCCAGTCCACGCAAGAGCAAGCACCGCAGCCATCGCAGTGGCAGCCACAGCCGCAGTCACAGCCGTAGTCACAGCCGCTGTCGCTCTGGCAGCCCTGTATATAGAAAAATGAAAGAGCCCAACATCACTGAAGATTCTCCATCAAGCGCCACAACAGCCGAGAGTGAGTCCAAAGGATGTCCAGCAGAGGGCAGCAGCAGCCAGGTGTCTGCTCCTGGGGAGAAAGAAAAGGACATAGGGGATTCAGGGCTGTGATGCACTGAATCCTGCTGTTGTCAAAGGTCACATAGCCAACTGTTGTGTCTTTTATTAAATACATCCACTACACTGTATGTTTTCTGTAATGAAAACATACAGTTTCTGATGCCATCCTTTTCAGGAAAAGCCAACTGGTTTGTCCAGGGGGCTTACTTTGCCTTGAGTTGTTCTCTAAAGCTGTGCACATTGTATATTTTTTATTTGTTAACCTTTCACTCTGTCCTATGTTTCTTCTATCTTTGTCCCTTCTCAGGTTTGGACAGTACAGGGAACTGACACCTTGGATTAGGAAATACTCAAGGATTTATGGTCATATAGAGTAAAGGAGTGGTTACTTAATACGTTTTGGAAACATCTTCCCCATATTCCGACAGTGGTTTGAACCTCTGTACTGACGTTCCATGCAGTCATGTCAGCAGACTGCATACAAGCGCTTTTAAGATGAGAAGTATGACAGACTCTTTTTCACAAGTCACTCTGTTTGCTTTAGTTGTGGAGCATGTATCTATTATGAAACAAATCTGCTCAGACCAAGAGGTGGTAGTGAAAAATGCATTGTTTTCCAAAACATCCTATCACCAGCTCAGCACCTATCAACAGTCACTCATATGATTAGTTTCTGCAAATCTGCAAATGGAGATAGCAATGCTATTGTAGTTCTACTCTTGACATTTCCAATGATCCACCAATGGGTATAAAGTCCCTCTAGGGTGCTTAAAAACAGAGTAGAACCAAAGTAAGTAGAGACTGGGGTTTGGGGGGGGGGGTCTCGGCAACTATCCACAGCAGCAGCATAGCACATGTCAGCGTAGAGAGTGAATGTGAGCGTAAAGGTCTTTAAATAGACATCAAATCAGTGCAGTGGGATGTGGTGGGTGTGTGAGCCTCGTTGTTAGCTGACATGGCATTTCTGTCTTGCTAGAAGTAGTTCATTAATTGTTGGCCATTAACTCTGTACAACTACAGCAATATCTGACCCAGGTAACGTGTGCAGTATATTGCTTTGACAAGCACATACCTTTCTGTGAGATAATGGGCCTTATCTAACTTTTCACAGGAGCAAAGTTATTTTTCGAATAATTTACCCAGAAAATAAAATTCATATTACACCAATTACTTTTTATTCATTTTTTAATCCATAGTAAAACTTTTTTTTTTTATCATGTAAGTAAGTAAAACTCTGATATCTCTGACAAATCTGAGCAGGAATTCTACTATGAAGAGCAACAGTTTTTCATTATACCCTAAGTAGTATAATACAAAGCTGACATGTTCCACTGAAATATCACAATGCAAATGTGATATTTCAGATAAATCAAATGATCCTATCTAATGCATTATTCTTTGTATGATTTTTTTCAGTTCATCATTCCTGTCTTTGTTTTTGCGTTTCTCTTGCTCAGATCCTTACTTACTGATCCTGGTGGTTAGCTGACAGTGAAAATAGTCGTGTTGCATTGTTACCGTGTGACCTCTGATGCACCATGTTAGACACTTTGTACTTTTGGGCTGTTAGCGTAGGACAGTATATACTGTTGTAGCTGTAACCTCAGTATGTATGTCTGTTATCAGTGTGTGTGTGTGTGTGCGTGTGTGTGTGTGCGTGTGTGTGTGTGTGTGTGCGTTTGCGTTTGCATGGTTTTCTGCTAGACATAATGTACATTCCGGTACTGTGATTTCTTGTGCCGTAAAGTGCTGTTTTTGACTCCTCTTTGTGATAAATGTAGCTGTGAAAATTGTTAGAAAAACATGGTGAGGACAGTATAAAAATTTTACTTCAGTGTAAATGTTAGGTGAAGAAATGCAAGACAGTTATACTTGCATAAATCTAAAAATCAGTTTGAATCATTTCATAGTGCATCCATGTATTTCCTTGAGTTTGAAATGAAAAATCTATTGGACCTTTGTGTAGAATAACATGATTAAGACTGTGTCCTACTTTAGGTAATTTAGTATCATCAGTTCTGCAGTCATGACCAGTGACTATCTATAGTGAAATGTTAATGAAAAAAATGCTCTGTCTGACAGAATGTTATTGTTTTTTAATTATGTGGCTGAAGTAGAAGAGATATGTATGTTGAGGACAGATATTAATTATGGTAGAAAACACAAAGTAGGAGACAATCTATGCCACAAAGATTTACTTAAATTATGTATTTATTTTCTTATTTAACTGTTAAATGAGCCTGAATTCTGCTGGCCAGTGAGGGAGCATTATTTCAATGGAAATGTCAAATTGAAATAATACTGATAATTATTTTCTTTTTCTATTAGGAGCTATGAAGAGAGAGTCTGATTTCTACAGTTTCCATTTTAGCAAGTTCAGATCAAATGTCGCTTTTATTGTCAGAAATGTAGATTGTTTAGTCTACAGGTCTTTGTATAATTGTGAATGAAATTGACAAAAAATATATAGCAAGTCTATGAGATATGGATTGTTGGCATATGAGAATGGTTTATCTGAAATTGTCTAATCAGTGAGGCGAGAAGATTTTTTAAGGTTTGCTTGCTTTGTTCTCCAACCCAAAAACTACTGCAACACTGTCCAAAGAAATAATATATTCCCCTTCAAATTGTGCTGTCTTGTCTGTTTCCTCATTCTCAAATTTATTGCAATTGCTTGAAAAGAAATGTAATTACGGTATGATCTTGTTTAGTGATCGTTTTATATTTCAAAAGAAGTGAAAAACACGATATACTGAAGAGAAAAATATAGTTTCTGCTGAAAATTGTGTGTGTGTGGAGGGTGGGGTGTAAAAGAAACCAGAGATAATATAAAAGTGAAATTCTGTAATTTAAAACAAATACCAGTTAAGAAAAAGCCATAAGATAAAAGTGAGTTTTAAGCAGAGCTTTAAATGAGGACACTGAGTTTGCTGGAGAATCTCAAGTAAGGTCTCTTTTTTTAAACATTATTAGATAAGAGATAACCCAGGCTAAAGGAAAGCAGAGATTGTTAATGCTGGGGCTAGACAGGGTAATCGTGATTATTTCTGATTTGGAGTCATTCTAGTGAAGGAAATATTTTGATTTCCAATTCTTAATTTCAGCATGGCTGAGATAATATACATTTGTGGTTTTATCTTCACATAGAGTTGCTTGTCATCTGTATAGCAATGAAAATTGATATGTCCACGCAGGATTTGCCCCAGGGCAGAGGTGTATATATATAGCATATAAGAGGGGATCCAGAATAGAATCCTGGGGGACCCCACAAAAAAGAGGAGCACGAGAGGAGCAGGCATCTCCCAACATAAGAGAAGGGCCTGTTGAACAGAAATGAGATGAACTAATCCAGAGTCAATCACTGATACCAACATAGTTTTTCATATGGATGATTAAGACATTGTGGTCCACTGTGTCAAAGGTTGAGCTGAGGTCAAGGAGAATTAAAATGGAGTACAAGCCTCCGTCGGCAGCAAGCAGTAAATTATTGTAAAGCTTGAACCTTGTGCTAAAAGCATATTTACATTTTTGAAAAATGTGATTGTTCATAGAGGAAATCAATTGAGTGGAGACCATATTTTCTAAAAAAATTTAGTTTCAAATGGGAGCGTAGACATGGGTCTAAAATTACTTAAAACAGAGGGATCCAGAGAGGGCTTATTTAAGATAGGGTAAACAGTGGTATGTTTAAAATTAGAGGGGAAAATGTCAGCAGACAGAGATCAGTTACTAATGACCAACCATCTGAAATACTGCTTTTAAAAACAAAGTGAATGTCGCCTAATGAAAGGGTGGATGATATTGAAAGTGTTGAAAGTGAAGGTGAAAGAAACTGTGACTGAACTTATAATGCAGGTAATATTTCTAATATGACTAAAGTTTATTAATGCAACAACAATATACTATACATGCATTACCTTCAATTATGTAAAAGAATTTGACTTAAGTGTTTCAAGTATTAGATTGGAACTCCAGTCTATTATTATCTCATTGGACAACCATCTTTAGACAACCAGTCAGCTCTTTGTGATTTATTATTGTTACCAGTGGAAACTGCTTGCTTTTTTAGACTTTCTGAATAAATGTGTGTGACAAACATAACACATCCTGCAGAAGGCAACAGCAGGTGCATCTTGCATCATGCTTTTGCCCTCTGAAAAGAAAGCGTCCACCCTGCAAATTCATGGTGACAAATGACGCTCTGATGCAACACTAGTCAGGGATTGAGTTGCTTGGTTAAGTGACACTAAAACATCATATGCCCAAGTAACTTCATTAAAAAAAAAACTGACTGAAAGGGTACAGATTTACAATACTAATGACCCTGTAATATCATAAGTGTTGTGTTTGTCTTTTTGTTAGTAGCTGGATTTTCAATCAAAATTTCTCAAAAACTGAAATGTCTAATTTTGCCTTCTCTTTGGATTATAGTATATGTGTGTGCAACCTTTGATTTTTAACCTTTTCTGATCTCTGGTGAGGTGAGCCACTTTGTTTGCGGATAACCCTCATTGGGACATCATATAGAATATCAGAGCTACCTTTATTCTTTATCTCACACTGTTATCTAGTTATGTAACTTCCAGAATACGGTGAACGTTTCGTATCTCTTCACTGTATATCAGGTAGAAAATCAGGGTTCTTTGCTTTATGACGTAATTCTGGGCTCTGATTGTTACACTACTCTATTTGCTCCACACACCTTCATAAATGCTCTGTCACTGTGACACGCCATGTACTCATATTCACAATATGTCATGACAATAGGACTATTAATGGGTGCAGGATGTCATATATTCACAATGACAAGCAAAAAACATGGACATGACCTGTTCTGGTGGACCAGTGGTCTGAGTTACAAATTCTGAAACCACAATGGCCCAGCTCCAACATATCCATCAGATTCTGGATTAATCTACTTCTTTTGGCTAAAACACAGGAACCTAAATATTATGATTTTAAATCACTTGCTTGAGAGAATGCAGTGTTCCCCAAGACATTTGGTCTTCTCAGATAGATACAATGGTCCTTCTTTGGAGCTAAAACCATGGTAAACCAGTCCTACATTAATTAAAACCATTTGTTTCCTATAAAAGTACAACATGTTCACAATCAGAGCTTTTGATTCTATTACACCACAGGGCCTGAAGGGAAAGAGCTAGATGGTAGCTTTTGGAGTAAAGTATAATCAAGTTATGTTGAGATATAATATCCCAAGCCTCTACTCGTCCCTCGACTGTCCAGTTTTTACTTTGTTGCAAATGTATTTCAAGGTTGATCTGGTTGTTTCACTAGCACATATTCTGATGTTCTTGTGATAGCTAAAATGAATATAAAGTGTATCAGATGAATTATAGCCACTAGTGTTGGTTCATACCAAACTCTAATAATGGTCTGGTACACCTAGGCCTATGATAAAATAAATCACACACAAAAGATAGCAGAAGTGTTATATAAGACATCATAAAAAATAGCAATCACATCATATGGATGTCAATTTTTTTTAAAAGTGTGACATCTGAACTGTTATTGCGTCTTTGAAGTGTCTATTTATTTTGTAACTTAGTTTCTGAACTGATCATAAACTCATAAAACCCGACAAAAACAATGCACTGTTAAACAAGTTAATGTTCTTGTATGTGCAAGGCCAACCTGCCAGCTCTACTTTCACCTGCTCACAGACAGGACATGAGGGATAGTCTGCCTGAGAAGTGTCAAGTATTCAAGGCACGTGCTTATATCTACACAGGAATCAATCACATTCCTATAACTTTTTATGTTTTCTTTTTGTTTTGCAAAGCAATGTCATCTTGGCTAGTCCTAACTTCTTAAAGAATCAGGTTGTTTATTTGTCATTATCCAGTACAAGGCTATATAATGAAACGAAATTTGCAGTGGTTTCATGCTACACACAGAATAATAATAATAATCAAGTGTAGCCTATTTTACAGTATGGTACAATTTAAAATAAAACAATATACAGTTAGCCTATATACACAGAACATTCATAATTTTTTTTAAATTTGCGTCTGTGAGAATGTAAACAGCAGCAACAAGATGATAATAAGGTTTTCTCTTCACAATAAAAAGTATTGCATTTGGGAAACAGTGTCCATCTTTACTGTGTGGTTTGAGCACCAAACATCATCGATGTTAGTCCATATAAATATTTATATAAAAGGTGCTGATTGAGCAAGCCTCTCATGTAATAATACTTCGACATCACATGACCACTGGCTGATTGCCATTCTGCAACACATCACTGGGGTTACAGCATGCTCCAACCGGGCTCCACCCCCTCGACAGGCTCGATGGTATAGTCCACCTCCTCGTGACGTCAGCGCGCATGCCTTCCTGGGATAAATACGGGAGCTCTGCGCCATGAGGCTACAGCTGGAGGATCAATACACCGAGAAACAGTCCTGTCCTTGAGAGAAGGGGGAAACGCAGTGGTACTGCCGGTGAGAAGAAATACAGAGTTAGCTTCACAGTAACGTCGTAACATTTTTTTTATTTTACATTTCGGACCAGCAGCCGTCAGCGACAATGAACGGGCAGATGAACGGTTTCCATAACTCCCTCATTGACGAGGACTGCTTCTTGTTCACCTCGGAGTCGGTCGGGGAAGGACATCCCGGTAAGACCCTCCTTTATTTATCACTTTTTGATGAAATTAACTACATTTATGATGATGTAATTACGACGTTGTTAGCCGCTCGTACAGTACAAGTTCACTTTGATAAAAAAGATAAACTGGAACAGACGCCGTTGAAATCTAAGCGTTGCGGCCTTTTCCGCTTTTTGAATTTTAGCTGGGCCGGTTTCTAGAACACGCGCTGCTGGCTAATGTTAGCGCGCTAACGTAATCTTCACGATACTGTCGCGTGTCTGGACCACCGACAGCAAACCTAACGTTATTATCAGTGTTCGCATCAGACATCCACTATAGTTAAATATTAGCCACTTCAAAGCTTTTCTCATTGCAGTGTCATTATTTAATTGGTTAACGTTTTCTCTGAATGTCGTCCTGAGGCCCGCGGGGCACAATGGCTGGTAACGTAAGTTGGGATTAACCAACACTGCAGGATAGTAGGTGTTTCCGTAGGAATGATAAATGTTTAGAAATCGCTTTCCGGTGCCCGGTTAGTTGCGCGCGCTCCCTTCCTCACCACATGTGCACATGCTGAAATGGCGACTGAGACGCTCTGAGCCACTCCTACTGAGAGCCGGCTGCTCTAACCTGCCACAGTTCCTAAGGTTTTGCTGCAGTCGGGTGTTTCCGGTGTTTATTTACGTTGTTTGTTTGTTTTTTCAGACAAGATTTGTGATCAGATCAGTGATGCAGTTCTAGACGCCCATCTCAAGCAGGATCCGGATGCCAAAGTTGCTTGCGGTAAGAAAATTTTGTCTTTTTCTCCATATTTATCTTTGCTCAAATCAGAAGCTCATGATGACAGTGGAATATTGACTGTTGGTTGGCTAAGATTGTGTTTCCAGGGTCATAAATGAACCTCCCTGCTCAGCTCAATACATTTTATGTAATCTACATCTGACTCCAGATCTGCTTCAAATACAGATACTTTGTAATTCATCTTTTTTTTTCATCTTCTGGTCCCCTTTTGAACTATCATGCTGACATGCATGCATGACAGCAGTTGTCATAATTTCTTGCATGTATCTTGTAGAGACTGTTGCCAAGACTGGGATGATCCTGTTGGCTGGTGAGGTGACATCACATGCCACAGTGGACTACCAGAAAATTGTGCGCGACACCATTCGGCAAATTGGATATGACGACTCCTGCAAAGGTGCGGCGTATTGGTTGTGCTTTTTGAATTGTCTGTGATATAGCTATATAACTTAATGATAGATTGAAAAGATGAAGGGGAAATAACGGTGTCTTGATGTTGTGCTGTCTATCTCCTGCGCAGGCTTTGACTATAAGACCTGCAATGTTCTTGTGGCCTTGGAGCAGCAATCTCCTGACATCGCTCAGGGTGTTCACATTGACCGCAATGAGGAGGACATTGGCGCAGGTGACCAGGTCAGTAGTGACATCAACATTTTGGTCTGTCCTGAAGTTACAGATTGCTGGTCTTTTATTCATAAATGAGACTGTTCTTAAGCATGGTGTAAATATCTATCCCTCTGCAGGGCTTGATGTTTGGATATGCCACAGATGAGACAGAGGAGTGTATGCCTCTCACAATTGTCCTTGCCCACAAGTTGAATGCCAAGATGGCGGAGTTGCGCCGCAACGGCACACTTCCATGGCTCCGGCCAGATTCAAAGACACAGGTAGAGCTCATACCTGCCATTATAAAGAACTATAACTAAATAAATAAAAAAAAATTATATATATATTAATAATTAATATTTTCACCTTTGCAGGTTACTGTTCAGTACCGCCAGGACCGTGGCGCCATGCTTCCAGTGCGTGTGCACACTATTGTGGTCTCTGTTCAGCACGATGAGGATATTTGCCTGGAGGAGATGAGGGACGCCCTGAAGGAGAAAGTTGTCAAGGCTGTTGTTCCCTGCATCTACTTGGATGATGACACCATCTACCACCTGCAGCCCAGCGGGCGATTTGTTATTGGAGGCCCACAGGTAAACGTCGCAGGGTGTGGCTCTCAAAAAGCTTATTAGCCTGCGAGTTTCCCAACCTGTGTAACCGCTGTTCTTCCATTACAGGGTGATGCTGGCCTGACGGGGCGTAAAATCATTGTTGACACTTATGGAGGCTGGGGAGCCCATGGTGGTGGTGCCTTCTCTGGGAAGGATTACACTAAGGTGGACCGCTCTGCTGCTTACGCTGCACGCTGGGTGGCCAAATCTCTGGTGAAGGCTGAGCTCTGCAGGAGAGTGTTGGTCCAGGTGAGAAGTAGGGTAAAAAAAAAAAACGGTCTTCTTTTTAGAGAGCGGGGCTGCAAGAGATTCCTGACCGAAAGTGTCTGGTGTTTTTATATATGCTTGCTAAAATGCATGTTTTATTAGGTGGCCTATGCTATTGGAGTTGCCCATCCCCTCTCCATTTCAATCTTCCACTATGGGACCTCCCACAAGAGTGAGAGAGAGCTGCTTGACATTGTGAAGAGGAACTTTGATCTCCGTCCAGGAGTTATTGTCAGGTAATGTATAACATCGTAAGCCACCTGCTACTCAATGAAACAACAGTTCCTGGCTTCTTCTTCATTCCTGTGCCTTAGAGTTGTCTCTGTACCCTGCCCAGGATTTAGTTAATTTAATTCAGTTGGACTCTTCCGAACCAATACCAATTTCTTCTTGCTGCAGCTAGCATTTTGTTCAGCTTCTGAGATGGAAAGCTGTGAGTTTGCCATAGCTCTTTGTACTTAACTACATGGCATAGTGTTTAAGGTTACACATGGGCTTTAGTGGGGCAAAAGTATAATTTATTAGCGTAGACGTGTTTAGATATCCAGCCTAATGAAGCCATGAAGCTCATAGGTAAGTGTCCTGTCGTAATTTCGGTGGGTATATTTTCTGTCTGCAAGCTGCAGTCAAAACACTGCTCAGGGATTAGTTTAGATGGTATGTTAAGTGATTAAGTTTTTCTCCTCACCAGCTGGTCTAACAAACCTGTCTTTGGTTTTTTTTAAATTATTTTATTTTTTGTGGCTCTCGACACTCCACCGGCAAATGTGAGCGTTGTGTATGTGTGTGAGTATAAATATGTGCATTTGAGGTCGCTGGCTGTGACTGCTGCTAAGTATGTTGATTATGTATTCCAGGGAGCTGGATCTGAAGAAGCCATTGTATCAGAGGACCGCAGCCTATGGCCACTTTGGCCGAGACTCCTTCCCATGGGAGGTGCCCAAAAAACTCAAATACTAAACTTGTTAAGCTTTTCCCCCCCAGGCTTGTTGGTGTATACTACAGAGAAGCCTCCAAGGTCCCGGGGGTGAAATGCCCCAATATCTCCCATAATGGTATCATTTAACACATGACTCCCTTCCTCACTCCACCTCCCTCCTTATCTTGTTACTGTTTCACACTCGGTCATAGGGGGCATGCCTCATACTTGATGTTTAAAGAAATGGATGAGTTCCACGAACTCATGCACCATTGTACTTCATGTTCTCTCACATCTTGGGATTCCCCTGCTTCTCGTTGTGCTATACCTTGAATAGCTGCGTTCAGTAGTTGTCCTTTAGCATTCCACACTTGTCGATTATCGTCTGCCTTTTCAGTGTAATAGCGGTAGCATATTAGGCTATATGCGATACCCCTCTTAATTTACTGGTGCTACTGATGCAAGGAGTCTGTGCAACATCAAACATTTTCAAGTCCATTTAGAAGCATAATTTGATCGTTAAAGGATCCTCTGATCTGGCGCCTTCCTAAACAAGTGTAGCCTTTGTCGCAACATTCCTCCTCTGTCAATCTGGTACAACTATTCCCCGACCCAGTGTCCTCTTATCATCTTAATTTGTGGTTGGCTTTTTGTTTTTGTTTTTTTAGCTTTATTCCCATGTCTTTGTGGAGGATGCTAGAATGGCAAGATTAAAATTCAGATAGCTGTTTTCATAAAAATGCTATGCATTTCAGGCTAAGGGGCAAGCCAAATCCTAATTATTCATGCTCTCAAATGAGCATAAAGCCTCAGATGCCCCTACAGACCTTTGCTGTTTTCTGACGTAATACAGAAAAGTCAGAAGCTGCTATGTCACTGCTCTGGTCTGCAGAGGTATCAGTTATACTTGATAGCGATGGTAAAATTGGATTGTTATGCATCAAATTCAATTCTAAATGTAGTTTTACTCGCTTTTTTTATGGTTTGAAGTGACTAAAGGCCATTTTACTCCTTTAAGTATATTGATTGCAGGTGTAGCTACAGAGAAACCTGGTTCCCATCTTTATTCTCAAAGGAGTATGGTTGTTGCCACGGTCTTATTGGCTAAGACTCAAACCTCAACACTATTTATTTGTTCTCTGAAACTCAGCGTGGATACAGAGAAGCTGAGGTTTCAGGAGGCAGCTTTAAACACCTGGTTATTGAATCTTGAATTCCTTTTTTGACTTGAGCATTTTTCAGTATTTGGCTTGAGGCTCCAGAGTGTTGTACAGAAAAGCTTTGGTCTGTCTCAGCTGGCTACTGTTAATAACTACAACCTTCTTTTTAAATTTTGGGACTGGTTCTTATTTTTAGTTCATTTTTAAAAAAACTCATTACAATGCCTGGTGCATTCGTTGGCTCTGACTTATCCCCATTATGGAATGGCAATATTTGGTTGGTGTAGTACAGAGAAACCGACCTCGTTTACATGGCCATTCCATGTGTGGGATAGTTCTCATCCCGTTGGCTACAGTAAGTGTGTAAGAGTGCCTTTTCTATTTCCTCTATGCCCCCATATGCTTTTCTCCCCTCCTGCACACATGCGTGAAACTTTCAGAGGAACAAGTTGCTCATACTGTGTCATGTTTCATGTCTAGACTGGGTGGTTTCCTTATGCTCTGTAATAAACGACTACTCCTTTCAAATGTGTCATGAATTTCCTTCCACGTTCACTCATATTGCACATAAAGTACAATGTTAACAGTGTTTAAACTGTCAGAATGAGCAAGTAGGGTTGTTAATACCAGTAAGTGTTCAACACCTGAGCTCGTCCAATGTTAAATTTAAAGCTAGTGAAGAAACCTAATGGGTTGTGTGGTGTATTTATTTTATTTTATTTTTTTTCCCCCCTCCCCTGTGGTAGAAGCAGAATGCTTTGCTGATAAGCCGCCAAAGGAAAAATGTTTAAAAATATTTAATGGTCTGGATCCTATCAAAGGCTTTTAAGCAATGTTAGAGGGGTCTAATTGTATACCACTATCAAGAAGATTATAGCTGATTTTGTACTGGGAGGGTATTTCAGTAAGGTGATAAACTGCGTCAGCAGCATTTGTCAGTATTTTTTTAAAAGGCATTTATCTCAATTTACATCTCGTCTGAATCACTAATAAAATTGGGGCACACCAAGAGCTGAAGACTGGCCACATTGCCTAAAAACTTTATCAGAAATTGAATAGTTTGTTGGTTCAAGTAATGTAGGTTCTTATAGCTATCAAACATTAAAAATACATTATTATCCACCTCCATATGTAGTGTGGTTTCTACTGACTTAGAGTAACTGGGACCAGTACACTAATTGGTCTAAGGCTTCATGGATACTGTTATCTGTATGCAGAATAGCATATCCCCATGCACAGGTCACCATGTGTGGCAGTCATGAAAATGTTAAAGTCCATGATGACAGCCAGCCATAAGAAGTCTTGCAAAATTGCTGTTTCTGATTAACTAATCTAACTAGTTATTCTGTGTGGTTTAAGAATAGGGTGTTACTTTTGTATTTCAGCCAACAAGTGCTACACTCAGGTGATATATTAACTAGAACTTATCTGAAAAATGGGTTTGTCTGACAGTTTTGCATTCATCTGCTGGGTCCTGTTAGATGCCTTGGTCAGAGGGAAACTGTTTAAAGCAGGTTTTAGGTCGGGTAAGCAGTTTGGTCTACAGAGTTTGACCCTAGGCCAAACCCCTTCCAATTGGCTTCTGACAGTTGCCTGAAGCTAGTGAAAAGGTCATTAAACTTCTAGTGTGACAGGTATAATAGCTCTTGGAGATTAACAGTGCAGCCAGCTGCCTCAGCTTTCGAAACAGGTACATCCACTGTTGGTTTTTCCTGTTAAACTTAAAAAAAATCACCTAAGCAGAAAGAGATCTTGGAGGCCTTGGTGTTGGTGTAACAAAGCAATTAAAACAAATTGTAAATGTGAATGCATGAAGTGGAGAAAATGGCAGGGTGCAATAAAGCAGTTTGTCAAGTTAGACACTAAACAGAGAAAGTATAACAGAAGTGGAAATGGATTTGAGGTCATGCAGGCTTTAGGTTGTTATCTCCTCAAACCGTTGTAAAACATTTTCAGAAACGGTAAGACTATATCTGTGGCTAGTTTTACAAAATCTGGCTAGAAATCATACAGTCAGAAACAGCTATGTTCTTGGCATCATAAACCCTGTGTATCAAGTTGGTTTTTGTGCTTTATAATCCAAAACATTTTTGTACATGAATCATTGTGTTGCTGGTTTATCACGCGTTGCTATCAGAGAAAAAGCTAAAACTGCTCACCCTGTTCATGACAGGTTCATTTGATATGTCTGGCAGCACAGACTGAACAATGGGGAAATCAGATGCCACGTGGCTATTATTCAGGTACATCCTACTACATTACAATTTACACTCCAACTATAACCACCAAATTACTACCACTGTTATTATTCCATAATGTGTCCATAAGTACTGTATGTACAGTATATCTGTGTTTTGCATTAACCTACCCCAGCATGAAACATTGCGGAATGAAAGATGAATTCATTATTGACCTCAAACAGCCTATACATTTTGACTATATTTAATTTAAAAATTTAATTTGAAATTTTTATTTCAACAGTTACACAAACAATTCGAAGATTTTGTTTAACATCATGATACAATGAATACATTCTTTAACAAAATAAAAAAAATATATAGATTTTTAATAATGTACAACAGTTAAATAATAAGAATATACTGATGCTTGAGCTTTAACAAGGAAGAATATGTTACATCCGTTTGAAACCCTAAGATACATTTCTGACATGCTTGTAGGCATTACCTCTTAAATCTCACTAATCCTAGGTCAACAGGAATTGAAGCTACAAAGCGTTTACTTGAGCAGTTTAAACAATGGCTAATGACATTTAGGAAAGTATGAAGCAATAGTGCTGTAATACACATTAGTAACATTTAGCCTCACTCAGCAGTATTATGCAAAATTTAGACAGTTGGTAACATCGACACAACTAATTACAGGAGAACTGAATGTTTGTGCAAAGCAAATAATACGGCACAAAGGTAACACATTAACACAACCACCGCTATTAGCCAGAATTTGTAGATATTTGTGCTGACAGTATTCTGTGATTCTGTGTTATATGTTTTTGTGACTACTTTTAAAGTGCTGCATTGCTTTTTCATACTTTGTTGCATGTTGTGATGCTTAATAACTTTATTATCAGGCAAAAAATTTAATCTGAAATGTATGTGGATAGCGAACACAATTTTTAGATATAACAAAAGCTTAACAGTCATACATATGACAACAAGATTCAGATCACATGAATACTAGAAGGTCTTTTCATCTCCAGCCCAGACATGTTTGGGCAGTGTTCTCTACTCAGCACCTTAAAGGTGTAGCAAAGATAATTGCGATGTTGTAGTGTTAGGCAATCTAACATACACATAAGACTATACAAATACAAGTAGTGGAACAATGAACAAATCATATTAACAAATGTAAAATAAGCAATTTGTTTTGAGTATTTGAACTGAGCATACTATTCCCTGTGTTGATTCCTGCTTCCAAATGTTTATTTCACAACCTGACTGAAACCCATTCAGTCAGAGGTTTTAGCATTAAATCCTGTTCTAGCAAAGGATCTCTGGAGCCTTTTCAGTGCTGAACTGGTAATCCAATGAGCATTTTCTCTATAATTGGCTTTGTTACTGTGCCAGACAAATCCGGCCAGCTTTGTTAATGAGTGGACATGTGGTTGCTGCACCATAAACATGAAATTTAGTGTTACGTAGACCTGCAAACTTGTATTTCAGGTACGCTCCTGTGGCAACACCTAAGACCTAAGACTTGGATAGGATGAAACATACTCAGGTTTGATTGTTTTACTTATGAAATGAAGTGAATGGAAGGCAGGCAATTTTGGATAGATTTATACTATACATTTTATTTATTTTCATACATAGGCATAAATGTGATGGTGGACAAAAGTTGTTTTCTGAGTAGAATTAAAAACTCTAAATACAGCTATGCATGAAGAACCTTCCCTACACCATGTGCTCTCAGGGTTCATTTAACATACATGTCCAGAATTATTATACCTCTCCCTCACGGAATAAATAGCTGACATTTTATGACCTTAAATAATGTCTGGAAGTACTCCTTGTCTCTGAAAGCTGTCCCAGCTCATTTTACAAAGTACATCACTACAGTTACAGTATATCAAGCCACGAGTAGTATTAATTCTCAAGTAACATCATCATCAAATTCAGACCTCGAGTCTTGTCTGCAGTTTAACTGCAGCAGCTGTGCATTTCCACAACTACACTGGCTCAGTCCAATGTCTATATTTAACTGGTGGAAGGTTGTGCTTGGGTTACACTTTCACAGCCTTGAATGGGCAAGATCCTTCAGCTCAGTGCAGAGAGCCAGTGTCGCTGCACTGACGGAGGCTGCTGCAGGTGAAATGCACCAGGCTGTAATAATAAAAGTCTGGGAAATTGCACCACACTCACGCTGCACTCAATTTGTAAAGCAGCAGTGTGCTGATGACGTGAACCAGCACTACACAGCTCTTTTGGATTGATGTTCTAAAGGTGCTTTTTAGCGGCACAAGGAGGTTTGATACAGGTTTGCAGTGTTATATCTTTGTTTCTCTATAACAAGGAAGAGCACAGGGAATTGTTCCCACAGCAAAGAGCTCAGAGGGCAGCACCTGTGCTCTGCTCACATATGAGACCAAACAAAGCAATACGGACGCCAAAGCAGAGAGTGATGAGACCAAACATTGTTGTGGACTGAAAGATAATGTCTTTGGGTGCATTTGATTTTCTCACAGCCATTACACAGTAACTAGCAGAGCAGTATAGAGCGTTGACACAGTGAGAAGGGCAGGAGCAGGTCAGCTGTTTAGTTGAGGTCAGTAGGATTTCTTGTAAGGATTGGGTGGCAGCTAATGCAATACTTATATTAGCTTGTTGCTGCTCTACTGTACTACAAGCAAAATTAAACTGCTAACACTGGTGCACTTCATGTTGTTTTGGCAGATTTTTGTTTGTGATCTTTCCTGATTCAGCACTAAATAGTAGGATATTCACAGTATTTTCTTAACTGTTGACAGCTTACCTTGCAATCACAGTGCTTTTTTTGGGTATACTGTATTTGACTATTTGTTATAGTGAATTTGTATGCAAAATGTAATAAATTCCTTCCAAATTGACCTAATTATGACAATAGCTTTTTAAAAATTCATACTCCCATATTAGGCTATGAGATAAAACATTATGAAATGAATGTGTTAGGTATGTGCAGCCAGTAGTTCTGAGTTTCTTAACACTGTATATGTCATAAGATTTGGGTGTGTTGAATAATAACAACATGTCATCTTGCACATCTCCTGTGTTGATTGATAAATCTGATTACACATGCACCATTGAATCAGCCTGCGTGACTGTAAGTTATGCAACCGTATTTTCAATAGGTCTGGAGACGCTCCAACATCGTATCTTAACTATTATTAAAGCGGTATTAGACTCAATTTGTCATTGTACCCAACCCAGCCTAAATTCTACAGTATGTTATGTAACGCCCATCTCTAAGATTACTTGCAAAAAGATCAAAAATACGACAATGAGGTAGATGTGTTGAATCTATTACAAACTCCA